AAAAAAAAAAAAAAAAAAAAAAAAAAAAGAAAAAAACGGTTTTTACCTGTTTTAACCGAAATTTCTCTCAAAATTTGTAAAAAGTTCTCAATTGAAAAGATGGTTTTGGAAAATTTTAACCACAACAACCGTTAACCACAACAGTTCTTCAAAATTTCTGAAAAATTGCAAAGTTAAACAAAACATTCGAGCAGCTTCCATGTTTTTACTATTTTTTCTTAAAAATTCACGAGATAAGCACGAGGAGGGTTCCTGAAGTTGTAGCAGATGAACGGAAAAGTTGTGACGTAAGAAACTGTTGAGCTTGGAACAACAAAGGGGAACTGTGTTGTGAGGCAGCATAATCAAGAAAACGTAGTGCAAGGTTGATAAGAGAGGGAAGTAAAAACAATGAGAGAGAGATGCTAATGTATGTCTTCAGGAAGAAGTCCTTAAAAATTAACTCAGATAGTAAAGAAGCATTAAAATAGTAATATATCTACAAAAGAACTTATTAAAAGAAAAACAATTTTTTTATACACAATCATTGCAGTACTGAAAGCCCCATTTCTACATCCGTTTTTGATCGATCGGAAGTTGTCAAACGTTTCAAATTTTGGAACTGTAAATGGTACAGCAGTATGGAATCAGAGTACAGCAGACATCATGTTAGACGGAACAACTAGACATGCCATTACCATACTGTCGTTGAGTATTATATGGATCTTTTCAATTTTTTTTGGTTCACTACTTCAAGTGCTTCGCCTTCCACCGCTTACTGGTTTCTGCTCCATTTTTTTCACTCTTATATACATCAAATATGCCATATCACACCGTTAACTATGCCGTTTCTTGCTAAAACATTGAACATAAAATTTTTTAACCACAAAAAGATGGCAAGAGAAGACAATTGCATTATTTTTTTATAGGAGCCTTGTTGGTTGGTATTTTATGTAAAAATATTACATTTTTTAATGGAATGCTATATGTGGATGAAGCATGTCGGAGTTTTTTATGCCGTATAGCACTTACTGTGGTTTTAATACGAGCCGGAATTGGTGTAGATTTAGACGCAGTAAAAAAAACCAAGGTACATTTTCAGCACTTACAACGATATACGTCTGACCTGTTGGTCGTAGTAACTTTGTCTGCTACACTGTTTGAAGAACAGTTCATGTGAAAAAAGCCTTAGCAGATGATAAGCCTTCGGTGACAGTACTGTTTTTTGTACAGAATCTTCTCATTGATGTACATTGGAAAAAAGTCTCACTCTCATATAAGCAAGCAAAAAAACAACATCTTTACCTTTTATTGTCTACTATGTTTTGCAGAGCCTAATTTGTCGTCTCGGCGTAGTCCCACCAATTGTTGAAGGGGTTGTAATTTTTGCTCTGGGAACATTAATTTTACCGATGGATCTAAAAATGCAGTTATTGTTCGCGTAAGCTTTAGTGACTTTTTCTTTTTTTTTTCTCAGCAGTCACTATTCTTTTTTTTTTATTTTTTAAACTGTTGGAAAGATAAATAAATATTATTGTTCTGGCAGACAGAGATCAACTTTTCTGATTTTATTGAATAGGTTATCTATTTCTCTTAAAATTCAACTTTTTTTTGGAGGTTCTTAGCGATCCTAATGATTGTTTTAAATTTTTGTAAGAAACGTGCCTTTTTTATTTGAAAAAAATGAAGATTAAGTTACTAAAATTTTTATAATCTTAGCTATAAACTACAGTTGGTGCAGTAGAGAAGAAAATGATGATGAAGATGTTATTTTTAGCATTATCTTAGCACCAACGTCACCAGCAGTTGTTATACCGACAATGTTGGGTTTTATGAAAAAAGGTTACGGGACACTTACGGGGACGTCATCGGCGATTATTGCGTCAAGTACCATTGATAACATCATTTGTATTGTTGCCTACAACGTTCTTGTATCAGTAGTTTTTTCATCAGGTTTGTCATCAACAACTGCTAGACAATAGTCTAAAGTTTTTAACTAATTCTATATGTTAAAAATTATTACATTTTTTTTAGTTCTATAATCAAAAAATACTTGTTTGCAAGAAGCAGAAGAAAAAAAAAGTTCACATGAATAGTATCAAAGACTACAGTACAGTTAGGGCTTTAGTTGCTAATCTGTTTGGAGTGTTCATTGTACAACAGTACTGAAACGACCCTTTGTTGGTCAAAAAACTGTACTGATTAGCGGTCGTTAATCTATGAAATGTATAAATTCAAAAATAATTAATATAATAGTGAGTAAAATGAGGTTAAAAAAAAGAAAAGCAGAAAAAGAGGCCCAAATAAAGCCTTAAAACAACAGAACTGTGTTGGAAAAGATAGACAAAAAGTCCTCTGTTCAAACTTTCTTTACATGCTAATCTTTTTTTTTGACACCAGTTATACCGCTTCTTTTCAGTCTTTTTCTCACTTAAATAAGAAAAAAAATGATAATTTTAGGTAAATAAATAAAGAAATTTTGCTTTGTTTTTGTCAATAATTAGTGCTGATCAAAAAAGTTCACATATTTCAGTGCTGTTACGATACGAATTTTCGATACAGTTTACTGCCGCGGTACTTGGTGTCATCATTGGAATCTTTGGTGGTAACTAAGGCAAATTAACTTTTGCAAATTTGAAAAGACGATGTCAAGCAAACAGAACATTATAAAGAACATTAATAAAAGCAAAATATATTTGTTGTAACTGACTACCCGCTGTTTGTTCATCTATTTCCTTTTTCTCTTGAAAGAATGTACCACTAGCAAACAGT